AATAATTAGTTTGGCTTGCTAGCGTATATTTCATGTAAATCGCAGGATTTTTACCTAGAATTGACAATTTCTCGGGTACCATTTCGCCTCTTTCGAGGAGTCTTTGTTGATGCTTTACAGAGAGGAAAAAAAAAAAAAAAAAAAGGATTAAGATATGCGTGAAATTTTGAAATTAGAAAATAAAATTTCACTAACGAATTTGATATATCGATCCATTCTTTTCTGCTTCTTTTTTGACAAATCTTTGCCGTGTATAACTAACTGATTAGGTTTTATAATACCGTTCCTGTGTAGAACTGAAGTTAAATTGCGCTTTTTGATACGACCTTCTCTTTTTAAATTGCGTGGCGGTGGTTTATTTATATTGTTCTTGGTGCCCATTTTTTTTTTGTTTTTTTTAAAAAAAAAAAAAAAAAGAAAGTGTATCAATTTCCGATGCGAATGCACGTATTTATCTACGCACGTGAATTACCCTAAATATACACACAGTATAAGACACGAATTTAAAATAGAATATAATATTCGCTGATCAAAAAAAAACTTTATACAGTATCAGCCGTCCGCGCAAACACAATGAATTCTCTGTTATTTAGGCGACTAGCTTTTGAAAATTCTCGACAATTCATCAAATCTCCCTTGCAGCTGTCACCATTTATACAATGCCGTCGTTCCATCCAATCCTCGAATGATGATGGCGATAATGATGACTCGACCTCACGACTATTCAAAGCTTTATTTAAGGATGCCCCGGGAAATTCAGAAGATTCAGAACAAATTCCAAAGAAAGATGATCACAAGTCCATTCTCGATAACGATTTTAAAGACATCTTTTTCAAAAACATCAACGACACATCCGGGCAGGTCGAAAATAAAGAACGCGATTTCTTCGATGACTCGGTTAATATGCAAAACCTTTTTCTAAGTGAAAATGAAACTCCCGATGGCGCTTCCGATGGAAACTCATTGATAGAAATTGTAGATGGGGTTAAAGCTCTACCCGACCTGGGCAACTCCGATGCTAACTCGGGAATGACGGATCCCTCCATTATTCTTCTAACGAATATGATAATGAGGAATGGTAAGAAGGCCCGTGCCCAACGTTATCTATCCGATTGCTGTCTTGAAATTCGCAAGCAAACCAACAATAATCCATATGAGATCGTCAAAATGGCAATTGAAAAAGCTTCTCCTTTGGTTGGTCATTTAAGTCTTAAGAAAGGTTCTAAGGTTATTCAAATCCCTTCCCCGCTTAATGAACGACAAAAACACCACAAAGCTATTAAATGGATATTAAAGGCTTCCGACAAAAGACCCGGAAAAAAATTCAGTTATAGACTAGCTTTGGAAATTTTAGCCGTCGTCAATGGTCAAAGCTTGGTATTACAACAAAAGGACGCGGTACACAAATTGGCGCTGGCAAATAGAGCAAACCTACCGGTTAAATGGTAATCAAGGGAAAATAATATCCTTTTTGAAATTTCTCAGCAATTATAAACAGTTCTATACTAGTTCAAAAATCATTTTTATATTACCGCACATTCATTAATATTCTCATGCAACCTCGAGATTCATTATTAACAAAATCCAACAGCAAACTTTAATAACTAAAATCTCCAAGATGATTTCTATGTTGATAAATTATTTACTCGTGGATTGCGCAGCCCTCTTTGCCTTCACTTGCTCCGTTATATGCTAAATGATAAAAATAAGGATTATGAAATTTCAGCAAGTTCATCCACGTCAATGATAACTGTTAGGAAGAAAAAAAAGATAATAATAATAAGATTGCGTGCTGACCTTCACCCTAAGCTTACACTCTTTCTTCGTCTTACCCTCAACGGCCGCCGCTATTTTATCCCACCTATCGCCATCACCCTTCCATGAAGGTGGATACGTTTGTAAAGCTCGTTCTAATTGTGCTTGTTGAGCTGCGGTCCATACATTTGTCGACTGAACTGTCGGTGTGATGCTTGATGCCGCGTTTGAAGCGGCTGTCGATGCAGATCCGTTGGGAAGAGTTACCTCATTTGTTTTTATTGAATCGTCGGAACTCTTTGCATTTGTTATTGGCTTTGACGAGGAATTAGGTTTTTCCTCAGTTTCCTCAGGTTTAGGTGATTCGTGTGAACAATTTTGCACGTGAAATGGGTCGTCATAATTTATGGTGGCTTCTCGCATAGAAGGGTGTTCGCTAATACGCGTGTCGGCATGCTTTTTTGAATGTTGCAGCTTACGCACATCCTCCTCGTTTAACGCACCAGCTCCTGTCAAACAACGTATCAACTATTGATGCCTTTGATAATTGTTGATATATAAATACGAATCTACAAGTAACTATGCTCACCCCTTTGAACTTCTTTGGACTTTTTAATCAATTCTTCGTTTGTTCTTGGTGGTAGTCCTGTGTGATCTGCAACATACTCGCCAATCTTCTCCCACCTGTCATAATAATTTGCTGAGTATAAATTCCCTAATTCTCCTTAGTGAATGGAAAATCACCTGACCTGTTTGCGGTCCCGCCCGGGAATTTGTTTGCCGCTTTGATCAATAACGATATTTCTTCCACGCCCCATGGTTTCTCCTTGGACTCCTCCTTCGAAATATCAGAGACATCTTGTTTCTTGACAGGAATAACATTCTGGGTGAGGCTTTCGATGTTATCTGCTGATATTTTTCAGAGGTCAGAAATTTGAAGACGCGAAATGTTTACGAAATTTCACATACCTTGTTTGAAGTGCGCAATGGAATCAGATGCCAAGGTACCAGAATTTATCAGCCTTGTGACTTCGTTTATTAAAACATTCTTCGCAGATTGTCCATCACTAACAGAGTTCATTTGCTTCCTGACATTTTGAAGATCTTCTAATGACAAGTTTTCAAATAAAGTATCTAATTCTGATAATTGCTTATCAATAACATCTACGGGAGGCGGTTCGTCAACTGGATAAAAATAGTTATAAGTCTAAATGTACAAACAAATTTAATATTGAATTTGAAGAAAATAATAATTTATAAATAGTGAAAGATTTGCACCTTAATATGTGCTTTGATACTTTTCCGTTCATTTCGGATAGACTTCTTCCGGGCATCTTTCTTCTTCTTTTCCTCTAGTTGCTAAAAAAAAAAAAAAGCGATTCGTTTAAAGATCAATGCTTTTTTAATCTACGAATTTTTTTCATTGTCAACAAACCTTTTGTTTTGCTTCAGCTTCGACTTGCTCCTTCCTTATCCTCTCTTCTTCAGCAGCCTGCAATAAATTAGTTACACATCCTTGATTTTTTTAAAAAAATTATATATACGAACTTTCAAACAATAATTACCCTTTTTGCCGCTTCTTTTGCGTTCTTTGCTGCTTCTTCCTTTTCTTTTCTTTTGGCTTCCTTGGCTGCCTTTTCTTCTCGTTTAAACTTCTCGATTCGTGGATCTAAAGATAATGCCT